AAATTATTCAAATATTATTTTCGTAATGTTCTCATATATGTTTTATGTAATTTTTTATAATTTGTTCTAAGTTTTTAACGTAATTTTATTTTGTGTGAGCTTTATTTAATATTTTTTTATTGTGTGAACTTTATTTTAATACTATGTAATATTGATCATTTTTGGTTTATTTGGGTGTATTTAAATTATGTTAAATTAGGTTTTAGTATATGTATTTATGAAAATTAATAATTGTAAGAACAAAAAAAATATAAATAGTTTTGAGGTTTTGAACAATGAAATCTCAAATTTGATGTTTTACAGTTCAAAACCTCAAAATTTGAGAAATTGAAGTTAGATTGAAAAGACACAAAATTTCAAAATTTAAGAATTTAAGATTGGGTTGAAAATGTTCTTACAAATTATTTGACTGTTTCATTTTGGTATTATGTTACATATTTTGTTACGCATATGTGTACTTTACACAAATAACATATGCTCGTATTCCTGTTTACGAAAAGTAACATTTTTTAAATTCATACACATCATATACATGTATTATATAGCCAGAAAGTAAGTTTTAAAGTAAGCTTTGTTGTTTTATCATACCAAATTAGAACACTTTTATCACTGATTGATTTAAGTTGGAAGTCGAAAAAATTTAATATAGTATTAAAATCCAATCTAAATGTTTCAGTCCGATCCATTATCGATATAGTCCAAAGTCGGCCTATCAATTTTGTCTAAACATTCTGAGATCAACTATTAAAGAGTCATTATCTTAAAATATATATTAGGAATAAAAATCGCCTATCGGTAGTTGGAAAAAATTCTTAGTAAGATAAATACATCACTTTTCTTAATATCAATTGATTTTACGTTGAAAACCTAGGGAACTTAACACTTAAATGCTACTAGGTTCATAGCTCCGCGCAAGCGCGGAGCCGGAGACAGTGATGATGCGTTATGATGTTTTATAGATGAGATTTTGTCATTTTTTGGACATTTTTTTTGTTTGGGGTTTAACCGAAAACCCGATTGAATTTAGTTGGTATATGAATGAGTGAAAATTCATATGCTTTGAAATATTCATATATTATTTTAGTAATGATTTTCTCGAATATTTGTGTTATTAGTGCTTTTATGTCTAGGATGGGTGATTTATTATGTTGTTATTGTCTAATTTGTAGGTTAGTAGTATATTATTGTTAAATAGTGAATTAGCATTTAAAAAATTAAGATTTTATTAAATTATACAAAGAAATATAGTTTAATGGATTGAAGAGAAAAAGATGAAACATGTTTGTTAAGGGGTTGTGTGGAATGTTTAGAGATCAATATTTATTAGTGAGTAAAGACCTGTTTTTATTTACAGATAAGAGTGTTTGACGAATTTATATGTGTTCGCATTTCTACATTTTTTTACGATTTAATTGGATCTTAATGTTATTAGTGAGTTAATAACCATATGTAACCAAATATAGGTATTTGTTACTATACAACTATAATATGGGAACGAAGAAGAAATAATTTTGTTATTCGAAAAGAAATATAGTTTGTTGTTTTCAATGTGCCATGACAGGTTTTGAAAATATATAACTGTAGTTNCCTTTTTGTTTCTCCTCGTCATCTTCAGTAGTGTGACAAGCTCTTGTGATTCTTGGTCTGATTGTGTTTTTAGTGTGTCATTTTGTGAAATTATGGTTTTTCTATAGCAACATGGAAGAGAGATTAGCTCACCTTAGCTAAGGCTGTCTCCATCGCATTCCTTACTCAGTGAACCTCTGTTGATTCGGTGTTCTCGGAATCTGCAATAAGAAGGTTTGAATTTGTTGTATGACTTTATTTCTATAATTATTAGTTTCGTTTACTAAAACCCATACCGAATGATTTGAGGTTCTATATGTTAATTTGGTTGGTATGGCTTATGTTTACTTTAACATGACATAGAGACTTAAAGGCTGCATGACGGATGCCGGTGACGCTAGTTTTAGGAACTGGAGAAGGAGAGAGAGACATTTTCTAGAAGATGGTTAAAGTTAAGAGGAATAGATAAGTTTTGTGGAGATGCGCATAGGGTTCATCTAAGATGAGAATCATATATATATGATTTACAGAGGGGCTACAAATCAGGAACATTTATGATCAAGCGATGTAAGATGGGGAGATGAAAAGTTCACCGGTGAAAAAAAATAGATTACGAACAGACACACGACGCAGCTCTATACCTCAAACATGTATGAGACAATGGTGAAAGGAAGCTTAACTCATATTAAACATTAACTGTTTACAATATGGGAAAACTGTAACTTTTGTAAACTTGAGGATTTTCTTCATATAATATGATGAAACCCAATTAAAAATGAAACTCATAATACACTTCCAGGCCCGAACTTTAAAGGAGGCCATACATGCAAAGGCTTCTGGCTAAATATATATTAGTTTCGGCCATCAATGTATAAGTTATCTTGTAGCTTAGTGGTATGAATGTTAGTGTTTGTTTCTTAATAATCCGGGTTCGAATCCTATGTTTGATATTTTTTCACATTTTTAAAGTGGGACCCACCTAATGCTGATGTGGCGCGTTGAGGAGTCTTGAAACTCAACTATTATAATATAGACTAGATCTTTTGGCCGCGCTATGCGCGGCTAATCTTTTAAACAAAATTTTCAGTTTTATTATTTATATATATAATATATTATATAATTAAATTTATAATTAAAAATAGAAGAACTATAATGTTAAATTAAATAGAAAAAGTTAATGATTGACAAAATTATTGTAGTTAATGCAAAATAGAATTTCATAAGTAATATTAATAATAAAATTATTTTTACAATATATAGTTTTTCTAGTTGTTTTTAACAGAACCCTCATTTTATTTATATTAACTTACATAATAATTACTATAATAGTTTAATCTGTATTTTTATATTTTCTATCTTAAAAATGTTGGTAGAAAATAATCACTACCAAAATCTAAAAATCAAGTATATAAAAAATTGACTTTTATTTAAATTTAAAAATAATATTATATAACTTTAAGATTGTATATATTTTGTTGTTATGAATAATGTTTATTTATTCTATTTTTTTATAAACTCGATGATATTAATTTATCCTTGCCATCAATGTTTTGTATACCAAACCGAACATTGACTTGACATTGCAGTTATGTCAATGGTCACACCGGTCCAATTGGATTGTAAATTTAATTTAATTTTAAGTTAAGTATCTATATATATATATGTATAACTATAAAATTGTTTAAATAGATATTAAAAACAATACAAGTTTTTATGAAAGTTTCTTTAAAATTTGTACTTTTTTAACTTAAATTTGAAAAAAATCAGGGTTTAATATTAAGCTGGCCATTGATTTTAGCGAGTGACCGGTTCTTAAACCGATTTTGTTGGTTTTTAACACAACTAAAAATTGTTTAGAAGAGAGAGAGTCATGATCCAACCAACTGGTTCTGGTTTTTAAAACATACAAAGCATCGCTTTTAATAACAAACAACAAATTCATTTTAGTAGACATATTTTTATTATGAACTTAAATTTAACTGAAGTTGTTATTTATTTTTTAACAATATAAAAAGATATTGCCAGCTTAATTTTTTGTGTTTTTCAAGTTTTGAAAGATTATGAAATATGAACCAAATTGTATGCATGGAATATATCAAAATATAAACTTGAGAGTGACAAAAAAGAACTTGAGAGAATGAATTTTTTGCTTAAAATAAATTTATAAATACATATAAAAACATATTTGGAACTGTAATTTCTATTAAGATAAATGTTACAAAAATAATCTTACGCTGTTGTTGTTTATTTCTACTAATGGTATTATATATCTATATATATATATATATATATGAAATTTAAAATGTACTACATAATTTTTAATATAAAATTTTTAAACATAAACAAATATTTTTATTCTAGAAGTAAGTTAAGACTTCAGAATGTTTGATATATTAATTGTTATGTGACCTCTTCATTTTTGCAGTCTCTGAGACCAGAAGAAACTTAAAAATGTTTTGATAGGACGAACAATGGAATAGAACACTCGAGAGATCATACACAAAGTGCACCAAGCAATACGTTCTTTCATAGGCATTGCCTCTAGAAACTTCTCAGCTTCCTTCTTAAGAGTAACTAGACCATGACCCGCCCGACCGGGCGGGTGGGTGTTTTGTTTTCTTTTAATTTTTAAGTTTATACTAAATGATGTATGTTTGTAATAGTTACATAACTTTTATTATTCTGAATTTACCTTGAACTATTATTTATATAGAAATATACATAACATGATATGTTTATACTAATCTTTTTATCGTATATTATATAAATGTTTCTTTTTGTGACTTTTATTTTAGTTATTTATAAATAATAAAAATATAATTATATATCTTTGAAAAAATATTGTTCATTAACTATTTAAAGATATGTAGATAATTAATCAGAAAAAAAATCCTAAAAGGTAGGTTAATTAATATTGGAATTAATTATTATGTATATGGAATTAGTAAAACAATTTCTTAATAATTTATTTATTCAATTACGAAATTTATATATGAAAATAATTATTTTCATTAATTATTGTTTCCACAATTATTTTTAGTTAAAATTTGATTTTCGAAATGCATTAAATAAAGTGAAAAGACAAAGAATCCTATAAAATAGGGTAATTAATAATTTCAATGGCATAACATTGTAAATAATTAGAAAAATTCAGGGGTATTTTATATGGGTACTNAATAATTATTTTCATTAATTATTGTTTCCACAATTATTTTTAGTTAAAATTTGATTTTCGAAATGCATTAAATAAAGTGAAAAGACAAAGAATCCTATAAAATAGGGTAATTAATAATTTCAATGGCATAACATTGTAAATAATTAGAAAAATTCAGGGGTATTTTATATGGGTACTTCTCTTTTAATAACATAGATAGGAAGATCGGTCATGTAACTACTGGATCCAGATAGCATGTCGTCGCTACACCTTTGATGGATCATATCTTGATTCTGAATTAAAGTTAAATAAATATAACTACATAACTTTCCGAAAAGCAGATGCAGATAAGGAGAAGGTTAAACCGTTTGAAAGAAATGCTTACAACTGTCATTTCATTGAACTTTCCAATGAAGCTAGACTTATGAACATCCACACCATCTTCACCATATTGGAACTGAATGATGGACCCATCATAATCCCGGACCGTGCAATCATAATTGACTTTCAGGCTCTCAAGATTTTTCATCAAACATCTCTGCAGATACCCACTACGCGATGTCTTCACTGCAGTATCAACTAACCTGTAAACCAGAATCTCTTACGCAATTACGATGCACCAGGACAAAGATATCACAGGGAATGCAGCACAAGAACACTAAAGAAAGTTCAAAGAATATAAGTTTTAAACTACTTACCCTTCTCGTCCAGCCATACAATGAAAGTAGTACTCTTGGGGGCGAAGACCGCTAAGGAATCTGTCATTAATAAAACCTCCAGCTCTAGGTGACCAATCCCATGGATGGAAGCAATGTAATGTCTTCCCTGAAACCATCTGGGGAACTCTTTTTCCTTTTAAATCTTGCTGGCCAAGGTAAGAAGAATTTTGCTGGAAGTTAACATGCACAACGTCATAACATGAGAAAGAACTGATCAAAATTACTTGCTGCAATGAAGGGTCCACTGAAAAAGTAAATATAAGGAGAGGTTATCTGTCTTCAAACTGCTTCTTTATCTCACTTCCAACAAATTGGTTTGACAACTTGGCATACTGAAAAAAGACTCACCTTACTTCCCTTAGCCTCAGATATTGTCATCAGAGAGATACAATTCGTTCCAGATGTTTTCAACAACCTATCAGAGAGCAAATCGTTCATCACCCCCTTGCATGAACATTGGTTGAGCTCACTTACGACGCTCCTGTCCAAAGATGCCAAAGCAAGTGCGCCATCCTCATACAGAACTCGCTCAATTCTTGATGTCATGTCCTGAGGATCTGCAGGGAAGACAGTAATCTGTGATTAGTTTATTCGGCAAGAATGAAGACATTAATCATGTACATAACCTGCCTCAGAAAATACATACCTATCTGAGCATTAACATCAATGCCAAAGGTCTTACGAAGTACTTTTTCACCAACCCCTTCACACTCTCGAGTTGATTCGTCCTCTTTTCATCCACATCTTTCAAAATAATAAGATCATCAACTCCACAAGTGAAACCTTGCGTCTGAAAGATGTTTAAGAAAAAGTTCAGGATACAAAAAAATTGTAATAAATGAAGATAAAGCATCAACTTCATGAGAGCAAACCTGAAGGAAGGCTGTGAAGAGACAACTAAAAACAGATAGCAGGTTTCCTGCAGCATTTGGACCGTAGAGCATGCTTTTCTATCTCTTTCTCCATCATGTCACCAGTAGAAGATCTTAACTCATCAATGCTAACCTATTTAAAAGCCGAATCATAAACGTTACCTTTTTTACACATAGAGAAGGAACACATAGAATGATAGTGGTACAACAATACCTTTACTTTCGGATGTGTATAGACAGTTCGATATATATCAGCTTGTGTTGCAAATAACTTGTGAACGTTACGGTCTGCAAAATTCACTCGGTTTTAAAAGGGAGTAGTAGAGGCAAACACAAATACAGCATATTTTCCCTTCAATCAAATTCAGATTCTAAGGACTCTATCTAAACGTGGCAGCACGAAGCTTTGCTAAAAAATCCTCAACACATGGATAATCTAATTACCTATTTGAAAACACAAAGCTCTTATAGATTGAACCCTCACGACATAAGATAATCTAATTACCTATTTGAAAACACAAAGCTCTTATAGATTGAACTCACGACATAAGATAATCTAATTACCTATTTGAAAACACAAAGCTCTTATAGATTGAACCCTCACGACATAAACTATCAATTCCCTCATCAAACAAAGCATGGTTCAAGGAGTGCATACCTTAAGCTGAGACAACAGATCACTGCAACTATTGTAGTCTTTCCTCACAAAAGCTGCCTTGAATCTCTTCAACTCTTGCGATGCATTTCTTAGATGCAGGTCCATTAGCTAAATTACTCGATGCTTTCTAGAGAATTTATTGTGATTCCTCAGGGTTCCATTTTAATTTATAGTAGTCAAAAAAAAAAAAATTGTAAACAGAGATCCAAGAAAACGTACAATGATTGGATCATAATCCTCTGCACTTTGGTGATGCCGACGCTTGATATATCTGAAGCTTAGGGAAAAGAAGCAAGATCTATGAGCGAAAGCTATTGTTGCTTAAGTTTTGTTCGTGGTGGTCGAAATATATAGGGTGGGAGAAGGCAAGTCAAACAGTGATTCGTGGAGAACGTTTCGCTTCGACTTTTACTTGAAAGGAGAAGCTTAAAGGCGACAAAGAAGTCAAAACGGCAACAAAAATTGAAGAATGAAAATTACAGACAACTACGTTGAATGACAAATTATGGAATGACGTGGCAATTTTAAACCTTTTGATTGGGTGAATATTTCTGCCCACGTGTACAGCCTCATTTGGCTTTATTAGCAACTTTTATTTATAGTAGATTGTTGATGAAAATTGATTACATGATTTATGAGTTTGTAAATTGATCAACAGAAAATCAATTCTCCAAAAAAAATAATATGCCCCAACATTTTTGCTTATGTGGACTTTCGGCCCATAACATGTTCAATGGGCCTACGTTCAAACCGTGGTGGGGACAAATTGACATTTAACTAATCCATCGTGTTTGGGTAATGAAACTATGAGCTTCCTAAACGGAAATGGCTGAACACGCAAGAAACGACGCGTTTTAAGATTCCATTACCCAATACGCAGACATTGACATGATCTCTTCTCTTGTAAGAACTTTCCTCTGCTGCATCTACTTCTCTCTCTCTCAAGGGTCTTTTTTCTTTGAGTTTCTGGAGCCTACTTAAGATCTGTTTTCGTAAGTTGTCTCACAAAGTCGTCTCCTTTCATTTAAAGTTCTCCTCTTTTGTCTCAATTTGATTCAGGGTTAGAATAAAAACTTGTGCTTTACTAAAAAATCGCTTCACTGTTATAAGTATTATGATCTGATTTTGCAGGTTAGTTGAGTTTGGTTGAAGTCACTGAAGTAAAAGTTTTAGAAATGGATAAAGAGAAATCTCCAGCACCTTGTGGAGGTCGTCTCCCTCCACCATCTCCATCAGGTCGGTTCTCACCATTCTCGGATGCTAACCGTTTGAGCCACGATATGAGCCGTATGCTCGAACACCCACCTAAGAAGATTGGACACCGTCGAGCTCATTCAGAGATCCTCACTCTCCCTGATGATTTCAGCTTTGATTTTGATCTTGGACTGGTTGGTAGTGTTACTACTAATGCTGATGGACCTTCTTTCTCTGATGACACTGATGGGGACTTGATGATGTCTATGTATCTTGATATGGATAAGATTAACTCTTCTGCTACTTCTTCGGTTCAAGTTGGGGAGCCATCAGTAACTGATTGGAAAAATGAGATGCATATTACAGGGTCAACTTCTAATCCTCTGAATAGTAGTTTTGGGGAAAGGCCAAGAGTTAGGCATCGACACAGTCACTCTATGGATGGGTCTTTGAACATTAGTGAGATGCTTATGTCTGGAAATGAAGAGGATTCTGTTGTTGATGGTAAGAAGTCTATGTCTGCTGCTAAACTTGCTGAGCTTGCTCTCATTGATCCTAAACGTGCTAAGAGGTATTAAGGAATCTGTTGCTTGATTGACTATCTATCTTTCATGCAAAGGTTCTTTTATTGTGAGAGGAAACAAGTGTGTGATATGTTTTTTGTGTTATACAACTAGGATATGGGCAAACAGGCAGTCCGCGGCAAGGTCAAAAGAAAGGAAGACGAGATATATATTTGAGCTTGAGAGGAAAGTACAGACATTGCAAACAGAAGCTACAACTCTCTCAGCCCAGATTACTCTCTTACAGGTTGGTTTTGAGTCAGTGTGCTGTATGGTTTGTTCATGTAGTGTGATTTTGTGTGGGTTTTAAAACGTTTTGTAATTTTCTTTGTGTTTGTTCAGAGAGATGCAAATGGTTTGACTGTTGAAAACAATGAGCTGAAACTGCGGTTGCAAACAATGGAGCAGAAAGTTCAGTTGCAGGATGGTGAGGCTCTTTCTTCAAACAAATACGTTGATTCCCCATATAGAAAAACTATTATCACCATTTTTTTTGTCTTTTGGCAGAACTAAACGAAGCCCTTAAGGAGGAAATCCAGCATCTGAAGGTGTTTACTGGCCAAGTTGTCCCAAAAGGTGCTTCATCAGCAATGAATTATGGGTCGTTTGGATCAAACCAGCAATTCTCTTCCAGTAATCATCAGTCAATGCAAACAGTATTAGCTGCACAACAGCTCCAGCAGCTGCAGATTCAGTCACAGAAACAGCAACAACAACAACAACAGCAGTTTCAGTTTCAACAGCAACAGGTGCAACAGTTTCTGCATCATCATCTTCCACAGCAGGAACAACAAAATGGAAGTTCTGAGATGAGAAAGCAGAATCCATCTCAAGGCAAGAATAAGAGCTGAGGTATCTTATGTATGAATAGTATGCGCACTTTAGTGAGAGGTACATCCATAAATTGCAGTCTTGTGGATTTGGTATTGTTGCATTTTAGGGTGTAGCTAATGGGTGACTTGACCTACAGGGTACTGGTGTTGTGTGCTTAGCAGAAGCCTTTTGTTACATCATTGAGGAATACATATGGATAGCTTAAAGAAACATAATTACCTGTTTGCATTTGGTCACCCTGGTCCTGTGTTCAAGTACGTAAAAAGTTTTTTTTTAATTACATTAATTTGTTATAAAATCATAAAAATACCCATTATTTCCAACATCATGGTTGATGTATATTTATTCTCTGTGCTTTTGTAATATGACATTTAGACTATTATACATAAAAATTTCATATATGATTGACAGATTTTTTTGAAAAATGTATCCACATGGTTACTAAGAGATTTGATTTCACACACAAACATACAGTGTAACAAAATGTATGCCGCTTGCTTGTATTATTACAGTTAGTCTTGGTTAGTATCTTTTTGGTAAATATCAAAATCATTTCAGCTGATCATTAAATACTGAGTTTATCCATTTAATGATGAGATGTGATGAAAGCCACAAAGATTAGTCAGGCACAACTACATCGGCTGGTTGGTTTGGTCTTAAAGAACATTTGTCTTGTTACAAAATGCAACAATCGATACAAGCCGCAAATAATATTTGGCCGACTCTTTGTTGTGAAACACTGTCCACCAGATTTGATTCTACACTTGAACAGAGAGAAACAAAAAAAACAATAGTTTTTCTTTTTTTTTGTGTGGACAATGTTTGTTAGCAAAATAAAAGTGAGAGAGACAGAGAAGGAAAGAAGCAACATGAGCCGCAGAACAAGAAAAGGGTGGAGCCTACAACTACATGGCCTTGCTCTCTAGTTTCGTCTCCGTTTGCCTTTTAGACCAAGAAAAGAAACACAAAAAAGTAAGAGTTTCCTTTTCTTTTGTAAATTCCTCTGATTTTCAAGATGAAGATACAGTGTGATGTATGTGAGAAAGCTCCGGCTACACTGATATGTTGTGCTGATGAAGCTGCTTTGTGCGCTGGTTGCGACGTTGAGGTTCACGCAGCTAATAAGCTCGCTAGCAAACACCAACGCCTTTTTCTTGACTCTCTCTCCACCAAGTTCCCTCCATGCGACATCTGCCTTGTAAGAAAAAAATAATCTCCTCTTCTCCTTTTGTCTCTGTTCATGTCTGTACGGCAGATTCATTAGGCTATTTAGATGCAACTTTAGTAAATGTTCTGAGTAGGATCTCTAAAGTTGTTAGTTAACAATAATAAAGAGTTTTAGAGATCTCATGAAACAAATGTTCTAGGTTTGCTGATGTAGTTATATCTTTCTTATGTGTTCATCTTTGATGACTTGCAGGAGAAGGCAGCTTTCATATTCTGTGTTGAGGATAGAGCTCTTCTCTGCAGAGACTGTGATGAGGCCACCCATGCGCCTAATACTCGCTCTGCTAATCACCAGAGGTTCTTGGCTACTGGAATCCGAGTGGCTCTGAGTTCCTCTGGTTGCAGTAAAGAAGTAGAGATGAATCATTTCGACCCACCTAACCAGCAGATTCTCTCTAAACCTCCAACACAACAGTCTACTGTTCCATCTCCTCCATGGGCTGGCGATGAATACTTCCGCTACTCTGATCTTGAGTGCAGTAATAAGGTGAGCAAATAGTTTACCAAATATGTGAGTTAGTGCTTATTTTAACATGTGTATCACTTGTTGTTGTGCTTCACCAGAAAGAGCAGCTCGATCTTGGTGAGCTGAACTGGCTGGCAGAGATGGGTTTGTTTGGGGAACAACCTGATCAAGAAGCTCTACCTGCAGCTGAAGTTCCCGAGCTTTCGGTTTCGAATTTGGCTCAAGTTCATTCTTACAATAGACCCATGAAGTCATCCAATGTTTCCAACAAGAAGCCAAGGCTTGAGATTCGGTATGATGATGATGAGGATGAAGAGCACTTCCTTGTCCCTGACCTAGGCTAAACTATGGATGAAACTAGTTAACTTTATACATAATACTTGGTTCCGTATATGTACCTACACTGCTACACACACTCATCTATTGCCTCTACCTTGCTTTCTCTGTGATCTGATTCACAGTAATATTATATGTATTGGCATGTTAGTCTTGAACTTGGAGAAAAAAAAACTGCTCTTAGCAAGCGATGCTTTGAATTGAAACATAAGTCTTTTTAAATCGTTACATTTCGAAGAAGAGAAACAAAAAAAAAACAGAGCCATTGATTTAAACCAAACATCAGAAAACAAAAATACATAAGTGAACATCAGACTACATGGAGATAGCTTGAGAGGGTGTTTATGTTTTTACTTCCCTTCAAGAAAGCTGAGAACTTCAACATCGGTGGGAAGAGCTGGAATAGCTCCTTTCTTGGTAGTGGTGATTGCTCCACAAGCGTTTGCGAATCTTAGCACCTTTCTCAATCTCTCTTCGTCCTGTTTCATTACATTAATGAAAGTTAGAAACCTATATAAATCTAATATCTATCATCTTTTAACCAAAAGAGAATGGATGCACAATGAGTTGGTGTGCTTTAATATGAATGTTACCTCGAGAATGGATTGATCCTCGGCAACCTTGTTTAGAAGAGCACCGACAAAGGAATCTCCAGCTCCCGTTGTATCCACGGCGTTCACATGGAAAGGGTCAACGGATCCACGGAATGTCTACACATTTTTAGTGTAAGTCACAAAAGTCATTGACGTTGTAAACAAGTAAACGACTCTGTTTCTGTGTTTCATGTTCATGTGATTAAGCAAAAGTAACTTTCTTTTCTCGACAAGAAGAAAACGAAGAAACTTTAGAGATCACGACTTTTGTGACCCTTTAATTGATTACTTTACCAGTAATGATGTTTTGGAGGGTCCACGAGTACCAATTTTTAATTAAGCAGTTGGTGAGATCTACCAAACCAATTCAAAATCCACTAATCTTTAATTAAATAGCACTAATGATTCCTGCAGACGTATTATACATTATCCCTTTGTTCTGACAATATTTTAATACGTTTCTCGGATCCTTTCCAAAAACATGTTCATATAAAAGTAATTCCTAAATTATATCATATAGCACACTAGTTTTGCCTTCTAGCATCACCTAATGGACACAACCAAAAGACAACTCACATGATGGTTAATGCACATAATGATGTTTTAGAGTGTTTACCTTGGCGTAATACCGGCAACCCTTTTCACCGAGAGTGACAAGCAAGAGCTTCAAGTTGGGATGCCACAAGGACATTGCGGTTTCATCATCGATCTTGTTGCTTCCAGTCAAAAACTCGAGCTCAACGTCACTAACCTTGATGATCTCAGCCTTGTCCCAGATGCTCATGATCTGTGTCTTGGCTTCTTCGTTTGATGGCCACAGAGGTTCCCTGAGGTTTGGGTCATAGGAAAGAAGAGCTCCGGCTTCTTTGGCCACTTCCATGGCCTTTAAGTGAGCTGACCTACATGGCTCCACTATTAAGCTTATTGATCCATAGTGAAACACTTTAGCCTGCATTATTGGTAATCAAATAAACCTTAGCCAGTTTGGTACACCCCAAAAACTCACAAAATAACACAACTTTGGTCATAAGGAATCATTATTACGAGGACCCCATTCTGATAAATGATCCTGTGTTTCGAATAATAACTACAATGGGGTCAATCATATTATCAAACTGTTGTAGAAAAGCAAAAGGTACTGCCATTGATATTAGCTGTAAAGGTGAAAACTTTAAACAATTTTAAGCAATAATATCCAAGCAGAAGATAATTTCACCATCATCATAAAGATGGACTATACACCTATGTACATGAGCATTAACTTTTGAATAATATGGCCAACCCTAAAATTAATAGGACATAAACAATTATAGACTAGGGACAAAATAATATATATATATATATATATATATTTCTTAATCAATTTAGTACAAAAAGTTATACATATTAACTTTTTAAATTTTGTAGATTGAGGCAACGATAATTATTCATACTAGCTATGTAAATTTTTGTAGATGGAGGAAATGTTTCATGTCCTAGATCACATCACTGACCCCTAAAATTCACAAAATTTCAATATAGATCATGAAGAGGAGATATTTAGCTCATCACTGCTAAAAAATCATAAATTCAGAACATATAACTATGCAAAAAAAAAACTCCAAAACATTTAAGGACGAAAACCAATGTTTCATTAGACCATGCCCATATTCGGTCCTTAAAATACTTCAAAAATATAAAAAAAAAACATTAGACACCAAATTTCCACAACATCCAAATTATATCAAAATAAATAAAAACATGAAATCAGTGAACTTGGGAAAATCACGTGATAATCACGTGGATCTACGCACATTCATGAGAGAAAAAGATCAAAACACCCGCGAAAAAAAAACGCATTGAGATCAGAAAAAAAAAAAAGTCACAGTCCGTGAAGTTATCATGAACACATATATCAACAGTAAGATCAATCATCATTCATCTAAAGATTTAAACTACACAGCTCTATAGAAGAATCCTAACGAAACTTCACTACGATGAGATTGTGACACCCGTCACCTCCTATCTGGAGTACAGCGTGTCATCCCCGACGCGTCATCAAATAACAATGTGACACCCGTCTCCCTCTCTCTAGGAACGACGGGCCACGAACAATATCTCATAACATAAAAGCCCCAAAACCCAACTACACTCGCCCAAGCCCAAATAAAAATCCGAATAAAAAGTCCAATAGCACCAAG